GCTTTTGGTCTGATGTATCCATCTAGTTTCAAGTTTTCTGCCGAACTTACGCATACAGAAACATTGAGAGTCACGATGGGTATTCATCCAGAACAGTTTCGATGGAAGCTCCAAAGCAGAAGTGAATGGACAAGTCCTGTTTCGATTATGGTCTTTTCAAAGAATGGACTAGGATCGTTAACAAGGTCGTTACATCGTTCTATCAAGAAGAGAGTTTTACCTGAGACATATCAGAATCAGGTGAGACCTGTCTTGATCAACTCTTGGGAGGCCATGTATTTCAACGTCAGTGAAGAAAACATTATGAACAATCTCGTTTACCCAGCAAAAGGTCTTGGTATAGATCTTATTGTTTTGGATGATGGCTGGTTCAAGGGAAGAAACTCAGATTTCACTTCGTTAGGGGACTGGCTTGTTGATTTCTCAAAGTTCCCTACTGGTTTGAAAGGTTTAAGCGGGAAGATACACAAGGAAGGCTTCAAGTTTGGAATATGGATGGAGCCAGAAATGATTAGCAGAGATTCTGACTTGTACAGAAAATATCCTGACTGGGCTCTCCATGTGAAAGGCCGCCCTCAAACTGAAGGAAGACATCAGCACATTCTTGATTTATCCAGGAAAGAAGTTCAGGAATTCATCATATCATGTCTGGATAATACCCTTCAGGAGTCTAAAGCTTCTTATCTCAAGTGGGATTTCAATCGATACTTGACCGAGTATCATAACGAAATACTGGCAGCCGATGAACAAGGCGAACTTATGTTCCGTTGGGTTCAGGGTCTTTACAATGTTTTGAATCATATGAAAACGAAGTATCCACAAGTTTTATTTGAGTCTTGTTCAGGTGGTGGCGGAAGATTTGATTTGTCATTAATGTATTTCAGCCATCAGATATGGACAAGCGACAATACAGATGCCTTATCAAGACTTCCAATTCAAATGGGAACGTCGCTGGTTTATCCTCCTCAGGTTATATCTGCTCATGTTTCAACTGTTCCGAATCATCAAGTTCATCGTTCAACTCCATGGTCAACAAGACATACTGTCGCAATGGCCGGAATGCTGGGATACGAATTAAACCTAAAAAGTCTATCCGATGAAGAAAGAAGCTCATTGTATTACATGATTGAAATTTACAAGAACAAAGTTGCACCGCTTGTTATCAATGGAGACATGTTCAGGCTTACTTCGATATTTGATACTTTTAGTGATATAAGTGCTCCGGTGTTTTACAGTTGGATGCATGTTTTACAAAACAAGAGTGAGGCTGTAGTATTTTGTGTGCTGCATAGTCTTTACGAAGTTGGAGTTAAGGCACCGCGGTTAAAACTAAAAGGCTTGGATCCTAACAGCGTCTATGTAGTTGATCAGTACAAAACTGATAGAAACAACCCATGGCCTGGCTATCATATTAACGAGTACGGAAGACTGAGCGGGTCAACGCTAATGAACGGAGGTCTTATCATCAAATTTAACAACGACGCCGATGCAACTCTTTTCTTGTTGAAAAAGATCGATTGAAACAGCGAGACAACTTTTCATTTCAGATAATACCTTTGTCTTAACAATAAAATCGGCGTGTAAATTAAACTGAAAAGATTAGAAGAAAATGGACGCAGCATCGACTCATAACCAAAAGCATAGCGAACTCAAAGATGAAAATGAGAAACATACGAGGACAGCAATAGTCTGCAATTTAAACAGTTCGCCTGAAATATGTGAGGGATTATTCTGGGATCTTCAAAATGAATCCATCGACCTGTTGCCCGGAAGCATGAGGCCTACGCATCAACAGATTGTGATGTCTCTTGATGGCGCTTCATCCAATTCGTCCAACAGGCTTAACGAACGCATGAACATGATTATGCAGCATACATTGGGGCAGACCAAAGATATCGGGAAATAGATTTTTAAGTTTCGCATAATCCGCAGCATGCAGGAAAAGAGGAGTAAGTTGGATCTGTTACAGCCTCCACCTACAAGACGCTCAGTACTATCGTCATCTGGGCCATCCAGCAAGAAAGCTAAACTTTATCGTATTAGGAGTGCGCCCGCTAATAGTGTTGTCACGGAATCATCAAGATCTGATAGCAATGAAGCTGAAACGTCCCCAGACGCAAAGCCAATTAGAGTTTATGATCACGATGGTCAGATTCTGAGGCAGAGTCGAAGTGCTCTTGAGTTGATACAGGGGAATAACAATATCAGCATAACGAAAAGTCCAGCGCATTCAAGAGCTAACTCAGCATCAAATCCGATAATCGCTAAATCAAGCGGAAGTGCGCTGACAACATTTCTAACGACTAAATCAGGTGATGAATGTGTTATTTTGTATGATAAAGACAAGAAGAGTGGGAAGTCTGGTAAAAGTTCTGGTCTGAAACCTCTGCATCACAGATTCTATTCTCGAGGAACTTCAAAGCATACAGATTTTCGTACAAGCGATATCACATTGCCGGAGAATGGAACAGTGATATTCAAGCAGGATATCGGGAACAGTCTAGCTCAAAATGAAAAGGCTGACGAAGTTGTGGCAGAACTAGAGAAACGCCGTGTAGAATCGAACCTTATGGATAGCATGATTTCAAAGTTTGAGAAACTATTCCACTCCAATAGTTCACAAAGCTCCATGAATTCGTCGCCTGTTCTTAATAGGTCATGGTCATACTCTAACACTAATCTCCACGACACATTATCGCCGATTGCAGGAGAAATTACAAACGCAAAGACAAAATTGAAACAGCTACTCTTTACGCATTTCAAGCCATTCTCTGATATTCATTTAGACAACAGTAAAACTTCCCCAGCCAGCCCCTTTGTTCATGAAGATAGGCCGTCAACGGCTCCTTCTACTCAACCTTCAGTCGATGAACCAAATGGAGTACAAAAGGAACGTGTAAAAAATTTGGTCTCGAAATTGGAACCTGGTCAAGATAGCAAGGAGAAGTCTCGTAATCAAAGAGATTCACTTCATACCAGAAGTGCTAGTTCGAATGATACACTGTCGAAACAGAAGAGAAAGAGCAGTTACCGAATTCAGCTGTCTCCAGAGAATGATAAACAGCAGAATTACATGAACTTATTATCTCCTGCAAAGCTCTTTGAGAATATGGTGATAGTGTCAATAGTAGAAGAAAAAGATGAAGACTCTGGTAAAACATACTTGGTTCCGAAAATCACATATCAGTTCCCTCCGTCCTCGAACGCTCTTTCTATGGACTCAGTTCAGTCTAAAGAGAGCGTTGCTTCAAGAAAAACTAATGGCTCTAGTTCAACAAGTGAAACTGAACTCTTTGGAAACATACCTTTGTTTTGTTTTCCGGAATGGTCTAGTTCATATGACGACCACAGCAGAGTAACCATTGAAGAATATATCAAAGATGATTCCAGATTTCCATCAGACAGCCTTAACGGAGAGACGTTTAGCTTTATGTTGACAGATATCGAGCGAACCAAAATGTTTGGATATTGCAGAAGAATCTTCACAGGAAGAGAAGTCGAATGTGAAGTAGAAGAGACCACAATCCAGGGGAGTGGAAGCAAGAGAGGTTTGCCTGTTACTCGCAAAGTGAAAAAGAAGAAAAGGCTTCCGGAAGTCTTGTCCATAATAAGTCCAGTTGGGTGTTTCTCTATGTTTAATGAGATCCTCGATATAGTTGTCAAAAAGAAAACATCGGGATGTAGCAGCTCACATTTGCACGCTTTCATGAAGGCCGTAATCGCACAGCCATTTCCTAAACCAGGCAAAACGATGGTGATTAGAACAATGTCCGATATGAGAAGAAGCTTGGGAGATTTAATGAATCCAAACGCAATGGAGGAATATTCTATAGAGCGTCCATTGGATCTTGTTTCACTAGAACATTCGAATTACGTAGATTTCTTTTCAGCGTTGGGATTCAAGACTGCAGAAGATTTTATGAAAGGACCCAGAAACATACTGTTCAGTTTACTTGCTGCTATTATAAATGAGAGAAAAATCATATTTGTAAGCAAATCATTGCATCGCCTTAGTAATGCTTGCAATGTTGCAATTGAGCTTATTTATCCAATGGAATGGCAACATGCAATTATACCAATACTACCGAGAAAGCTCACTGAATTTGTATGTTCTCCTACGCCTTATGTTATTGGAATGGTTCCACAAGAAGCTGTCCGTGTGCTTCCAGGATTCAAAATCTCAGAGAGTGACGGAAGCTTGTCTGTGCCTAACCGACCGAAATCGAAATCTACCAAAGACAATCGACCCTTTTCAGCAGCAGTGAAAGTTTCTTCAAAACTCGGTAATGATACGGAAACGCTTCCAGTTGAAGACGCATTCGTACTTGATTTGGACCATGGTTTGATTTTGCGGCACGATTCACAAGAGGAAGATAATGGACTATTCCCGCTTTTCATTCAGAATAGTTTGTTAGATTCACTTCATGCAAGCAGTGTAGATCCGTCTAATACTCAGTTGAGCAGCCGGAATGTCGCAATTTTTAAATGCTTCCTTAGATTATTTACCGGTATCTTAGGTCCATACCGTCAGTTCATGGATTTCGAGCTTTCTCCCATCGAGAAGAGCAAACATGAAACAGAACAGAAATTGACAGTTAAGTTTGACACGGATAAATTCACATCAAAGCATCCAATACTAATCAACCAAAAGTCCTGCTGGGAAAAACAAATCAAGTCTTCAACTAGCGGCAAGCTTCAGCTAAAAGAAAAGGAGCATTTCTGGAAGTTCCTTTGCAAATTATCAAAATCACAGAATTTTCAGTATTTCATTCAAGAACGAGAAGAAGGATTTCAATACCACTATCAAGATTTACTGGAGAGAACTTCTATGGACAAAAAAGTTCTAGAAACGGTTCAAAATGGCTCCAGTAAAAAGCAAGCTCTACCGAGCGGCCTCAAGTACTACTACAGTCTGGCACAGTCTCGTTTCGAACAATTGGTGTCTAAGGTTGAACAAGAAAATGCTTCTGAAAAAAGTTGATCGTAAGAATCAAAAAGATAGGCCCAACCGAGAGTTGAACTCGGGACCTTAGCATGACGTGTTTCTACAAGTGCTACGCAACTACCACTGTGCTATTGAGCCCACACTTTAGAAGAAATTTTCATTAAGTTTCTGAAGGGATACGTTCAGTGACACCAAAATCATTAGGTTTCAAAGCCACGCACAAGAATCAAGTAGAAGCATATTGAATGGCACTGAAAATTGATGTGATGAATAAAAAACTAAATTCGCATTTTATTAAAAAGTTGTCGCAGTTTGCTTTGCGGCTTATTTTGACTTTGCTGTACTACGTTTGGATTGAATTCGACTTGAAGGGCATTGTCCAAAAACTCATCACCCATTTCAGATTTTTGACTACTTAGCAATTGCATGAAATCGAATACCTCTGGGCCAGTAGGGCGCGGTCTAATACCCTTGAATGCCTCGATTGCAGCCTGCATGACATTATCCATTTGATACTTGTGTCCCAATTCATAAACTTTCATCAACGCAGAAACGTGTTGTGCGCGAATTTCTAGCGCTGTTTCATGTATAGCGCCGCTGCAAAGGATTTCCAGAATCATTTCGCCAACATTGCTTGAATAATCACTGAAATCGATCACCAAAGCCTGCTCATTGCCACGTTGCATATCCAGTATCTCTTTAAGAAAAGCACTGTGAGATTCAAGAATAGACGGATAGATCGTGAAGTTCTTGTCTCTAAACTTTAGAGTCACTTGCGGTTCATTGTTTCGAATTGACTTGAAACACTGATTCGCGACTTGCTTTCGTACTTCATCTGTATCAACCTTCATGCAGTGCAAACCAGACTTTGGAGCAAACATTGTGAAGGAGATTGTAATTTTTTCTCCATAAGGTCTTTTAGATAACATGTCATAATAAAAAAAAAAGCCCGCTTTTAAATTATTTTTCCAGCGATACCATGTTTTTTGCTTTAACGTTTCATAAGAATATTTGAATATCAATTTTTTCTCGCGTCTTATCGTGGCATAGATTCTGCTAGGCACGGCAACTGGCTCCGCTGGGCAACCTCTGACGCAATAAATATTGATTCTCACAACTTTACGTTCATTAAAGATCTCATTTTGGATCACTGCAAACTTCCACACGCCATAACCGTCCAATAAAGCCTTCTGTTCCTGTTCATAGTCAATTCTATACTCATTGTTCATTTTAGTATAGTCTTTTAGCGTGAAACTCAAACTAGCTTCCAGCATTGGAACCTCGCATTTATCAAAATCTGCAGAGGCGGCACGAAAGCAGAGCATGAAACAAAGGAGCGCATAAACCAAAATCATTATCATCCTGAAAAAGAACTAGAACCTGAAAATTCCTAAGGGGCACTGTAATTTCTCACCAATCGTGGAGTGTCAGGGGTAAACAGCATGAAACTAGATTTACCATCACGTGTCGTGCTGATAATTTGTTAAACCAAGACCATTTAAATAGTTCCTCTTTTCTTTGCACTCAAATCGTAAGATTTCCTGGTAAAAATGTTGCAACCGACATCTCTTTATTAAACCTTTTGATGTTTCTTACTTTGAAAACTCCTTCAACTTCTCCAACCATGAAACGTACTCAGAATTCTCCTTCCATTCGGCGTACTGAACAATGAACTCTCCGACATCTTTGATTTTTTCATCAATGAAGTCTTCGATAGATTCCTGAAGCTGTTCATCCAATTGATAATACTTTGGATTGTAGTCATATCTTCTCTTGTATTCAGTCTCTGCAGTGTCACTCATGGAAACATCTGACGATACTTCGACATCGTTAACAACAACATCTCCTTCATAAGAGACGGAACAGAACGCGGACATTTTGACACCGTTACGGACACATTCAACAGTCATTGGGATAACTTCAGAATCTTCCATGTCTTCATCTTCTTCGTTTGCACCTTCGTGATCAAAGTCTTCGCCGCTGTTTTCAGTTGGAATGATGCTGAACTGAATAGTCAATTTATCCTTCATAGACTTCAATAGAACATCGTTTCTTTCCTTCTTATCAACCAACTTGAAATCTTTTGGAAGCAATTCCATTACGGATGAAGGAACATCTGCAGAAAATCCTTCGTACTCCTTCTCGTATTTGATCTCTTCTTCAACAGCTTTTCCCAGGGTCTTCAATGAAGAGAACAGAGGGCGCGTAGGAGCAGTGAACAGACGATTCTGGACGCGTAACAATTGTGGAAGCGCGTTAGCACGACAAATGCGCAACGATGATGATTTTGCAGATGCACAGAAAGCAATCATTTGACACTACGGAAAAATTAAAATAAAAGTTTCTGTCTATTCCTTGTCCCTTCGAAATAGAAAAATGTGCGGTTCCGGCATGTGCAATTCGTAATGGACCCAGCCAGGGCTCTGAGTTATTCCGATACTTCTCCACTCATCCTCAGACAACAATCTTCAAGTAAGCGCAACTTAAAAGCAATAATTACCTGTTCTTCATTGAGGAGGGCACATAATTGGCGTAATAATCTTTTGGTAGAATTACATGTCTGTACTCAAAATGCTCATCAGAGTACCGACTGGAATAATGAATTCTTTTGATGTATTGTTGCCTCAAGTCTTTTTCGTAAGTGTCATCGTCGTCTTCTTCATCTTCGCCGTCGTCGTCGTCCTCCTCCTCCTCATCGTCTTCATTGTACTCTTCACCAACTTCCTCATCCTCTTCAGCGCTTTCAGAGGATGCGTACTCATTAGCCTTTTCGTATTGCTGGTTTTCCCAGTCGTCTTCATCGTCAACAATAGTCATTCTTGGGAGTAAAACAAATGCTCAAACGGAAAGCTGAAACAACAGCGAGCGAGCAAGCGAGCGAGAAAGAGCGAGTAACAAACAAACAATGGAAGAGGCTCAAGCGTCTATTACTTTATCCCTTAGAGAATTCCCACAGCCTCAATCTCATCATTAACTGTTCGATCAATGACTCTTATGCCAGCTGATGTGCTTAACTTGATTGTGCCATTGTCTGTTTGCGTTACAAGGACACGAAGTACTTGACCATAGCTTAAAGATACGTCCAATAGAGATTCCAAGAAATGGAAAGCACCAACTGCAAATAGGCACTTTTCTTTTCTGTGTGCTATCCAGCGTAGGAATCGTGTAGATTTCTGTTCATCAGTAGTGTTCTCAGATGAGACGGGTTGTGAAGACACTGATTGTGTACTTGTCAAGTCGTGATTAATAAAGACTGGAACATTGCGCCATTCCAACATTCTACCAAAAGCCAACTCCATTGTTTGCATTGAAACTGCCTCGCTGCCACAAATGACCATCTCAACATTACTGATCGCGTCTCTTGGGATTTTGTTTTGAATTTGTAAAGATTCTCTTCTGCCTTCAGATGATAGTCTTGGTTCTTCTTCTTCTTGGGATGGTTCATCACGAGATGGAGTCCCATGAGCAATGAGGAACAGAGTTTTGGATGTCTGATTAGGAGGAGCCCAGGTAGAATGGTTCATTCCTTCAGTAGGTGGTTGTATCATTTTGAGGCCCATTTTCAAAATAGAGATAGAATGTGGATTAAGTGTAATTTGGCAACAAGTGACATTAAACTTTGGCCTGTAAACGTCCAATCACGTGCAATCAAGATCAACCATCATTCTCGCATTGTTTCGGCTCAAAAATTCTTTAGTTCTTTCTAAAAGTGGAAGCATACCTTTAATTACAACCTAATGGAGAAAGAGTCGGCTGCAGAATTTGTTGTGAAGCCTGCGCTAAGACTTGCTAATTTGACTAAAGATGATGTTTTCGTCGATTTGCGTTGCGGAGATGGAAGGTTCCTATTGGCAGCTTTGGAGGGAGATGATCAATCAGGGCATAATCGAAGAAAGGCTGCTGTAGTTCGTTCTACGGATTCCGTGTACAATAGCTTCGAAGGAACTTTGAAAAGCAATTCTCTAGATGATGAAAACGGTGCAGCCTTAACGAAGGGTGAAGGATCATATCAGAGACCAAAGAGAATAATTGGGGTGGAGTTTGAGCCTGATCTTATATCTACTCTGAAACAGAAGTTGAATGTTCACACGGAGAATCTCGCGACAGAATCACCAATTTCATTACAAGAAGGGGATATATTCGAATTCGATTTGGAAAAGGCTGAAGCAACATGCGTCTTGTGTAATTTATCGCCAGAAGAATTGATCAAGCTGAAACCAAAGCTTGAAAGTTTTCTCAAAGGAAGATTAGGTAAACATGCTATTTCTCGGCTTTTAATACTTTTTAGTCGATATCGTTGAATCTAAAGACAAGCGAAACTTGAATGATAATGTTAGAAGCGAGCCCTCTGTCTTAAAGGTTCGAAACAACGAAGCAGCATCAAAACATGATCAAGATCCTCGTGAAAAGATCAAACTGAAATGGTCAACGTCTTTCCGGAAGCTTTTTGGCTTGAAACCAGGAGTATCGTCTTGTACTTCTTCAAACTCTTCATATCCCGAGGCTCCAAATTCAGCTGCAACAAGTGGAAGTATTCCCTCTTTCGAACCCCCACTTTTAGTAAGAAGCACCGATCTTACACAAATATCAGTTGATAATCACTCAAAGCCTAAGAGAAGAATAATCACTGTCATGTTCAGCATACCGGAATGGTCTCCGAGTAAAGTACTTGAAGTTAAAGAAGTTGTTTCAGAGCAAACTGAAAATATTCCTGAATGGGAACGAGAAGAGTCGCCAGCTATTTACATCTTTCTCTATGATGCAGATTCCATAAGGGGAATCGAATAATAGAAAGCTTATCGCGCTTTATTTTTAAATTAAATAGGACGGAAGGCGGATTGACCGCTTTCCCAGAGCATTGGAACGTCTTCAACAAAGTAACGTAGACCTTTCAAACTCAACTCCCGCTGCCATTCCGTCTGTTCAAAATAACTAAAGATTCCCAAAACAATCAAAATTTCCATCAACAAAACGATACTCAACAGCGTGATCCAACCATATCCAAAGCTTTTTCCACTTTCAGCAGCTACAGCAACACCAGAGGAAGTTTCTTCACTCTTAAAAACCAAATCTTTTCTTAACTGTTCAATTTCTTTCTTTAACTTTTCAATTTCATCGTCGATTAGCTTTGTTTCAAC